TTTAACAGCTAGTTCTATTCATAATTATAAACCTTATAGTATAACATTTCAAAAAATATTGATACCTAAATTAAATGATGAATTATTAAAATCTTAAAAACTTATGACAATATTTCTGTACAAAATTATTTTATCATTTCAGTATTAGCTTATTTATTAGTCTGACATATTAAAAACAGCTAAGAAATGTAAATATGTTTCAAGTCTAGCTCAGTGAAACCACCTGCAATATTTTTTATACAATTGAAATTACCATCAACCACATGATCTTCAAGGACTTCAGTTGGGATAACATAAAACCTTAGGACCACCCTTATCTATAAATAAAACTCCCTTCTTTTTCTCATTTGAGTTTTATAAAACTGCCAAGTCACTTAAGTTTTAAACGATTAATTCATTCAAGTTAAAGATTTATAAACTAGTAAATTATATTCAAAATATTATTTAGTAGTTCATTTTCAGTTTTAAATCAATAGTTATAATGCTAATGTCAGAAAAAGATTTATAGTAGGTTATTAGTGTAAAATTAAATTCTTGAATGCTTATCATGTTTTGAACGAATTACTCGTATTTTATCCAGTTTAAGAGTCATGTTATATAAGTAACAATTTTGCAATAATTTATTAATTATTATTATTTCATAATAACTATACTAAATCTTATATTACATAGATCATAATTCTGGCTTTAAGTTTTGGAATTTTATAAAGCTACTGATTTAATCAAATTGCATCTAAAAACCATCTATACAGTTGTAGAGTAAAAAGAAATTTTTTAGGTTATTATCGAGAATTTCACTGTAGTTCAGAAACTCCAGGTTATCGAAAATTTCTGTATAATGGACACCTTGTTTAAACAAAGCCTTAATTGAATTTTCATTTATACATTTTATTAATTGACCTTGATAAAGTATTTTTTATGCTTGTGATAAATAAAAAGGGGGGAGAGCATAAAATTATAGAGAGAAACAATACAAAAAATGGTGAAAAAATATTGTAATTTTATTCTATCAAGTTCTAGCCGTTTTTATTTAAACAATGGATAAAAGAAACTAATTTCGTAAAATGCAATACATATGACATAATTCAATACCAACATAATAGAAGTGAATGTACCAGTAATATAGAGTTTCCAACTTATTAACAGATAAAAACCTCCTTACAACCAATGGAGAGTGTAAATATGAGCAGACTTAGGAATGTGATGCCTGAACCTCAAGTGATATTATGCCTAAATAGCTATCTTAGTTTAAAGTAGTACAGAATTTATTTAATTGTATAAAAAACCAATCAACTCCAAAACATGAGGGTCTAGTGCAATATACACTCTCAGAATTTTTTCATAAATAATTGTAGACAAAAAATTGATATAAGACTCACTTTGCTGTTAATTACCCTGCAAAAATCCACTATCAGAAATTAAGCTATGTTTCACATCAATGTTAAAAAATTCTTTTAAAGTGCCTATCAATATTTACTTACCTTATACTGTTAACAATCTAATACAACATATGCCAGTATTATTGTTGTAGAGATAAATATAATAAGAAAACAGTATGAGAAACAACTAAAAACAGTATAATACATATTATAGATGTATTACATAATACATACTATATTATATCTACTACTCAATTAGACTTGAACAGAAATACCTCAATTACATTTCAGTTTATATAATGAATCATACAGCACACATCAAGATTTTGTTTACTGATGATCCCATCATTTCTCCATCTTGAAATTTGGCATAAATATAATAAATTTATCTTACATGTCATTTAATATCTTTCAAGTTACATGTAATAGCTTGAATTAATGATACATTACGGCATGAAATACAATACGGATCAGAAATGATGATAAAAGAATAAAATTGGAGAAATAATTAGCTTTCCAATGTGAAAGTCCAATTAAACATCCCTCTAACCGGGGTTTCTACTTGGGTCAAAAAGTTCCTTTTATAGGAAAATTCTTGGGAGGGGTAGATTTAATAGAATCCAAAAACAGAAATTCACAAACGCAATACTCCTCTTTATTGATGACCTGGGAGAATAAGCATTTTTGTCCCTCTCTTCCTAGCTAGTTTTCCTAGTTTGCCATACAGGGTTTCGGCAGCAGTGGATTAATACATTGGGAATACGTACATCTAATGCTGCCAATAAGACTCTTTATTTTATTTTTTTTTTAATTACATTTTAATGGCTTCATACTGTTGAGCAACTAGGTGCATGGGTACGCGCCTTACTGGTGGGGCCGCACTTTAGTCTCCAGCGTACAATCAACATGCCTCTGGCTTGTTCCATCAAGGTGCAAGATATAACCACATGCTCGGCCGTATCAGGGGCACCGCAATCAGGACATAAGGGGTCAATATTCTTCCCATGCTTCTTGAGTGTGCCTCTAAACTCCTCATGTCCCATCTGGATCTGTGTGGTCCAGTAGTACGGCTCGAGCCAATGTGACTTCAATCTGGAATGAACGGTGGAGAAGTACCTTCTCAAAGTGGCTCCTTTCTCACTTGCAACTCACCGCCCATTCCACTCCTCTAGTGTCGCCTACAATGCCACGCCATCTTCCTGGATTCTCATGGAACCTCCGCTAAAGCCCCTCTGGGAGTGCCTCTAGGCCCCACACCAGCCAGCACATGCACTGCTTCATGGGACACGGTCCTGTACGCCCTACCCGTCCTCAGCAAGATGTTGGATTTTCACTTTAAATCTCATGCCTAGATAGGCGACCTCCTCACGTAGACGGGCTTTATCAGTCCTACTCTGAGGCTACTAGGGTGGGCCCTGTCCATGGAACCCTTCAACAGAATAGCCTGGGTCTTCCCCACTGCCATCTTCATATTCTCTGTTGCACACCATTTATCTCCTGCCACCAATCTCACCTTACTATTTGATGCTATTATGGCAGCCAGGTCATCAACGTAGGCAACAGCACTGAAGACCACAATCTCCAATTCTCCTAGCAACTGGTCAAATACTAACTTCCACAGGGCCACCAGGGTTTTACACCTATAAACAATAACAAACAAACTATCATAAACAGTAAATACTACTTTTGACATTCTTTATCTTAGCCATTGTAGTTTTAAATCAAACCGGCTCTGACTTCCACGCTCCAAGGGGATAAACAAACCTGAAAATGGGATCATTATCCAGAGGAGAGCCGAGAAAATAAAATTACATTTATTTTTATTTACATTTAATTTGAATGAATAAAGAAATAATTGACACCAATAGAAAAATGACAAAACGGAGAGGAAAGTATAGTAACTCAAAAAACTGCAATGATAGAATAGTGAAAAAAGAATAGTTTTCAAAAAGTGCTCCAAATCAAAAAGAATGAGTAGGTTTTCCTAAGGGGTTTTCACATCTTGAAAAGCAATTCTCTGAATTAATAAGTGAGTTTAAGTTTTGATCTGCTAACAGGTCAAAAATATTAACTTAAAGAAACTATTATCTAGAAAATACCATTGGAATAAGAAAAATTGGGCAGATCTTGTCATATTTGAAGATAACAAATAATATTTATATTTGCAATGTAGACATCAAAATAACTTTCTGAATGTTTTAGATATGAAACAACTTTTTCTGTAATGGAATTATTACATTCAATATCAAAACTGAGCTGGAAAAAACACAAATCAATTGCAAATAAATATGAGTTTTTAACTCTTTGGTAAGTTGTCTAGGAAATAATTAATATTTTTCAAGATATTTTACTATTGCTGGATATTTATTAAAAATAAGTTCAAATGAAAATCAGTCCAATTCACTCAGCACATACAGCTTACAAAATAAAACTTAGATTTAAGAGAGTTAGATTAAATTTAATTTATAGATGTGCAATAATGTAGTTTCACTTTAGATGACATTCAACTCTGGCATGTTTTATATCTTAACATAAATATATTTTTTTGTATAAATACACAAGAGGCAATATTAAATACGAAAATACAATAAACAAATTACAAAAGATATACAATTTTAAAAGTCTTTTATGCTTAATCATTAACACTTGTAGAGAAAAATAAGCAATTAATAGTCAACTAAATAATCAACTTTGTTTTTACATGGAAAAATGAAAATATTTACAATACTTACGTATTTAAAAATAAATAGGTACAAAATGTTCCTCATTTAATGGGAGTTTTAGTATGATAATATTACACTTTTTCATTGAGGAACAATATTGATTGGTATAGTACATTCATATCCATAATCACTTTTTTGACTAAATAATTTTCTACAAATTTTAAATTAAAGAATAATGAGTAAAAAATTTATAACTTAATATATATATTTTTTTAGTTTGAAACAACTAAAATTTTCTTATAGAACATAAGGAAGACAAAAAGTGGAATAGAAATCATAAAAAATAGAAACAGGAGAAATAGTACATAATTTAAAATTCTTCAATTTTTTTCCATTAAAATAACATAAAATTCTTTAAAAATAACTACACAGGTTTTAAGTTACTTATATCTCTGTAGAACAAAAGTAACTTAAAAAGAACAATAATGCAATTAAATTATCAGTTCAATGTTAAGCATTATAGTTAGTTCAATGTATTCAAAATTACATAATCTGGTAGTACCACATGAAATCATGGGAATGGCATATAATGAGTTTTTAAAATCAGCAATTAGAACTTCCATTTTGAAAAAAACTAGTATGAACACCTTGGGCAATATCCCAAAAAAAGTAAGGTTTAAAATGCCTTCCAAGAATTCATTTTCTTTCAGGCATCAAACATTTTTAAATTACGGAATTCATCACGAACAAGGGGCATAATTTAGTGGATATAATTGAATGAATTCATTCATGTTTTCTAAAAAATTAACATTTCTGTATGACATAACTAGATACAAAACAAAATCAAATCTACAAATAACTAATTATTCCTAACTATTCCTATATATTTACATCTATACAAAATATTTGTAAATAATATATTAAAAAATGAATAAATCAAACTATTAATAAAACTAGACATCCTTAGTTACTGACCAGCTCAATTGGTTTAAAAAAAATAAATTCACCATTTCAATCCTATTTGGAAAGAAAAGTTAGTTGTGTTAATTTTCAATCACGGTGTTATTTAATGTTTCTATATTAACGGTTGGACAACTTTGAAAAAATTCACTTATTTTCATTTACTTTACCTCAGTTCATTTATCATGACAAACAAAACACAGAACCTCGAGTTTTGAAATGATTCTTTTAATAATTTTTAGATGTAAGAGAATAAATCTACAGAGACACATATATAAAGTTTCATAACTTGACTGAAAATCAAATAGACTGCTAATTAAGCTCAAATTCATAAATATTAATCTAACTTTCTAACTAAAGATAGATTGTGCAAGAGGAACACCATTGAGATGAGTACCAAATTATAATTTGGCATTATATTCATCATTTTCTTATCTGATTCTTCAAATCCCAATCCTTTCATAAAATCACTTGTGTTGTTTATTTATAGCTCAGGTTGATTCAAATGTATAACCTGAAAGAGTCAAAGAATGATCCAGATAAATAGATATCCAACTCTCTCTAACAGACATCTTTGACAAATCTTCAAAGCAAACTGAAAACAAAAAAGGAGTTTGTCACATTCATATTGTTTGTTGTGTTGTTATTTCATTAGCAAGCGCTAAAAACTTCACTTTATTAAGTTTGATTCATAAAAAATGACATAAAATGTTATGTGAATATATTTCCCTAGTAATATGTTTGTTCCATTTGATAACCTTTTAAATATTGTATAAAAATATAAAGTTATTATATTTTCTTCTTCTTATTCTCATTCAAAAATCTCTTCTAACTTTCAGTGTAGAGATATATCCTAACATGTGAAAAATAAGATGAATACGTTAAATTAAATTAAACAAGTTTTTTTTTTTTGGATATTGTTGTTGTGAATTCTGTTATGGAATTGAGTGGAACGCAGTACAACAAATCTTGAGACATGATTCTACTTAATTCTGCAGTCATAATAATTCATGATCCATTACACAATAGTTTCATTTTTAATTAAAAATTGGAATAAACACTAAGAAACTAAATTGAAAACCACATCATTACATAAACAATCATTCAAACAAAACATGCTAAAAAATATTGGAACCAATTTTTTTCAGTAAATTCTAGCTAGTTTTTGACATTTTTATCCATTGAAAAGCTGTTTGAATTCAATAAATTGATTTATATTTAATAAAAAATTCTAAACGAATTGAATCAATATTGAATATTTGTTCACCTGATCATTGTTGACTTCCCTCTTATTTATTTTTCTTATTTTCCAAGGTACTTTCATATCGCATGGCATCTTCTCCAATATCTACCACACATTTTCTGGGGAACCAACCGCGCTGATCTACGTTTTCTCCAACTTTTTCACCAAAAAGCCAATATCTAAAAATAAGAACATTAAAAAAATCAACTAAATTAAATCATGGGTATTTCAATAAGTGAAAATTGTTTCCCATTAAAGAAAAAGCAAGAAGTCAACACAACTCAATTGGTATTATATTTATCAAAATTTAAATGTAGTTATTCAAGTTCAAATACCTAGTTCTTCATTAAATAAAAAATAAAAATAAATTAATTTATTTTTTCAGAATATTATCTGAAAAATAGACCACTAACTTTTTCCATCGAGTAACGTTAATGGTTTCTGATGGTCGAAGAGGCATTCTTGGCTCATCAGTGCAAGGTGGATGGAGAAATACACCAAATCCATGAGATATAGGGAACCAATTCCCACTATATTTTCTTACTGCCATGTAAGTTCTGGTACGAGCACGTTTTTCCACTTTTTGCTCCTTTTGTTCAATCTAAAAGGAAAATAATAGAGAACAAATTAATATTTCATATATTTGAGTTCAAAACATTAATAATAGAGATTCAAATACCAATTATTAGTTTTTTTAATTTACGTAAGTATAAAGGTTTTTGGTGTGAATCTAAAGTTGTGATATCAGATCAAGATTTTTTTTTTAAATAAAAAATCTGCCACATCTCAATACTTACAATCTCATTAATTAGATGGAGATCATATCAATTTCATGTAAAAAGAAACTCCAATACATAAACCATGATTTCTGTAGGAAAACAAGTGAAATGGAAAGTATTGAGATCTAAAATGTCTTTCTACATGTAAATTTAATAAAATTATTAACTCACATGGGGAGGTTACGGACGTGGGGTCACCGATTTCAATGAAACTTTTTTTGGTGATACTAGTTCGTTTTTAGCATCTACTAAAACTAACGAGATATAAAAGAGTTTATTTCGAAATAAAGAAATATAAATTTTTGGACTTAATTTTTTGGAAGGATTTTTTTTCGTGCCGTTTACACAATTCATGCTTTATTCTTATTTTCGGATCTAATCTCTATAAAATACCAGATTTTGCTAATACGATCTTACTTTTGACATTTCAAATTTAGAAAAAAGTAAATATTTCGCATACAGCTATTGAATTAATACAATATTGAAACAATTAGTACTGCCCTAAGGAGTAAAGTGGGTTCAAATAGTTTTTTAAGGAGAAACAAAGTTGAGATTTGTACGCCGCACATCGACAAACCCTTAAATACGAATTTTAATACTAATCAAAAAATAAAAAAAATTTCTCTAAATTTTCAATTAGCCTTTCCGAAAATCTCAAAACCTGTAATAACTTGGACATGGGTCCACTTAATCACATAAAAATTAGCATGTATTTAGGGCCCAATAGTAAACACACAAGGGCACAAACCAGATGACAGTAAATAAATTAGATCTGGATATAATAAATAAATAAGTTTAGGGAGTTTATATTTATTTATTTCTTATAAAGGAGTAAAATCTGAAGGTAATCGATATGATTTTGAAGACCAATAAATTAGTTTATCAACAGTTGCAGTAACATGGACTTAAGATACATTTCTGAGGAGTTATGAACATTTTAGTAAAAGGGATGAAAAAAAAAAAAAATCCTACCAGTAAATTAAGTTCAAAAATTTATATTTTTTGATTTGAAAACAAACTCATATTTAAGAGTTTTAGTGAACGTTAAAAACGAATCTGAATCGTTTTTTCATGACAAAAATTTACTTACCCTACTTTACTGGAAGCATCTTTTGGTTTTTGTAATTTCTTATACATTAGAATTCATTAAACACAATTAGCAATATTGTTTTCTTGTTTTACATAAAAAAACAAATCTATGGATATAGGGTGACCCGTAAGTAGAGGGAAATTTTGATAAAAGCGATAGTAGATCTCAAGACCTACAAAAAAGTACATATAAACAATGAGCAGAAAAGTAGTAAATCCAAGTTATCTGTTTTTATAAGAGAGTTAAGTTTTTTGTTGAATAGGAAGCGATAGCTAAAGAAATATCTTAGCAATTACTTCACTGTAAACTAGACAATTTACTTTAACAGTAATACTTTTATTTTATCCCCCTCTTTTGGTTCCTTTTGACCCATTCTTTGAATCTAGCCTATACAAATTTATCCTATCTTACAATAATATAAAAGTTTCTGGAGATCTTAATGCCAATCATCATTTCTGATTTCCATGACAAACACTACCTGGAAAACCTTAGTAGTTCACTTATCTACTTAGTCATATCTACAGATCACCAGATCTTTATGGTAATAACAACTATATTATAAGTGGCAGATAAAGAAAAGATGAAATAAACTAACATGTAATTTGGGAGAATGAATATTGTTATTTAACAAACCATGAACACCGATTTTTAAGTTATTGAATATAAATTTTTTCTAGATTTACAATTTAAATATAAGAAAGAATGTTTGAAAATGACTTTGCTATTTATTAAATCACCTCATACCGTTAAAGTATATTGATTACATCCTTTCACAACGGGCCAAGAGATTCCATCACCCATGGGTTCTAGGTTCCAATTAAAAACCTACAAAAATAAAACATAAAGATTCGTGTAGTCACTAAATTTGCAATGAACTAACCACAAATTAACATTTAATAAAAACCTGTATAAAATTCTTTTTCCATCCAAGATCATAAGGAAAAACAAAGCCTTTGTTGTGAAAAGGTTGTCGTCTGTATACAGCTTTTTTGACAATCCATTCTTCAACTCCGGTTTTATTTCGCAAAATGGACCGCAACTGTAATAAAAAACATATAAACTGTAATAACAAAATTATATACAAAAGATAATTGTTTTTAATTGATATTATATTTCTTTTTTATTAAATCTTCTAAAATTTCAAGGGCATATATAAATAATAATTTTTTTCATAAATAAGTTATGAATTTTATAATTAGAAGAATGTGTGGAAATAAATGTTACAACAATTGTATGGATTATATAATAATGATATAAGTAGAGTTATCATTCATATGATATTTTGGAATTTTTGTTTATTGTTATTTATGTGCTGTTATATTATATATATATATATATATATATATTTTTTTTTTTTTTTTTAATTACTGTGTAATTACATTGTAGATAAATATTTAACTTTAAAATGGGCAAAGTTGCCTGAAACATCGTGGAGAAAATTAAAATGAATTGAAGCATGGAGTAGATGAGTAAGGGTGAAATAAAACAATTTTCGTCGATATTATAAATTTTGATATTTTTTTTGTTTATAAAAACCAACAGTAACAATTACTGAATAGGCAAATAATATATGATAATATTTATTTATTTTAACATTTTATGCCATTTGCACCTGCGCTGCACCTTACTTGGCAAATTTGATGTATTATGCATTAACTGCGTGTTTGCTTAGTTAGCTTTAATTTTGTTGTTATTGTAAAAGTAGGTCCCTTGGCCATTTTCTTTTTAACAACAATTAAAAGCAGAATGAAATAAAAAAGACTAATGGATTGGAGTGATTTTGAGTTGATGAATGAAATAAAGTGTATTTGTCATTTATTTTTAGTGTACAAATTAGTAAAAACACAGTTGTTAGGGTTTCTGGATATAAGGAGATCAAGGAAGGGAAGTGAATTATTTGTTTCTATTTCAATGGTGAAATGAAGTCATCGATGATAAGAATTGAAAGCCTTAAGGATTTCTGAAATCATGTTAAGATCAAGGATTAACGTATGGAGTCAAGGAGACAGTCTAACCTAATCTACAGCTCAGTAAAGTTAATATGAAGGTGATTAAAAGGGAAAGAAATTAAGGATAAATGTTTTGATAAAATGAGAAGGAAAAAGGAATTTTTGTGGAGATTTGGAGGAAAAAGGAAATAAAACAAAACATTTTATAAATAATAAAACAATTACTACCATTAGAGTAGTATTCTATATATATATATATGTGTGTATTTTAAGAAATAATGTTTTTATGTGACTAATGTTTTATTTCTTAAAAGAGAAAAATTCTTGGAAAATGGCTCTTGGAGACGAAACGTTAAATACTAATTTTTAAACGTATATTAAAATGGTTTAAAGATAAAATAGAAAGCTATGGGATTAAAAAGGGGTTTTTGATAAACACAGAATCAGATATAGTTAAATAATAGAATAGAATAGAAAATCATCTTTATTCTGGGAATAGGTCCCTTGAGAATAACAATATTGTTTAAACCAATTGACAATAAATCTGGCCAGATGACCAATTATAATAAAAATAACAACAATCTAAGTAATAAAAAGAGGATATACATAGTTTTGGAGGGTATACTAAGGAAAGCGGATGGGTATAACGGTTACAATATTATAATATTTGTACAAAAAACAACAACATACTTATAACTAAATAAAATTGGAAAGAAATGCTAAATAAGTATTATAGGTAACCAATTTTAGTGCTACAAAATAATAACAAAATAAAAATAAGAATAAAAGAAAATAACTAGAGTAAATAAATGATTTATATATGTTCCTTAAGTCTTAATATGTTCCTGTAGTTTAGTGATTATAGAACTGATATTATATTTAAATTTAAATGGATTCAAGGCAATGACATTGTTTAAGGTACTATTTCATTGTACTTGTGTGAAAGAAAAAGTTAAATAAAAAATATTTCATGGGTACGTTTATAACCTGAAATATATTTACTGTAGTTTAATAACTCTAGATCTGATATTATATTTAAATAATTAGGTATCTATCATCCGTTTATTCCGAAAAATCATTATGTAACCATTTAGAAAATTAAATTAGTGAATAGTTTGATAAATTTTCCTTTTGCGATATTCCAACAGAATCCACTTACAACCAGTGCGACAACTTTTGATTCGTCTATGACAGACAATGCAAATCTCTTAATTCTGTTTTAGTAAACTTTGCAATGGAAAATAAAAATTTAATAACTAATAGTCATACAATCCATAATCAACCGGTGATATAACAAATAGGACTTTTGTTATTTTAACAGTATTTATGATTTGTTAGCTGTAATTTTTTAGATTTAGCTCAGTTAAAGAGGCAATTCAAAAATTTAATAATAGCCCAACATGGCCAGAAAATAATTTCTATTCAAAGTTGAACGGTAAGTGAAAGTTGTGTGTTGCGCACCAGATTTTTTTCAAAGCCATCAGGAGTTAAATGATGAGGATATTATTGAGGATTCTATTGCATGTGATGATGCTGTAATGAAGCTATAAAGGGTTACCAATTTTTGGAAATTTCGGGATAAGGATTTTTTTCCCAGTCAGTTGATCTTAATCTAATCTAAGACGTTTTACAAGTCAATATGACCCCTGTGGACATATGTTCCATGATTTATATCACTGGTAAACAAGATAGCACAAACATATCTTAACATTACCTTTATAAACATTTTTTTAAAATTTCTCTTGCATAGTAACTCTACGCAGGATGAGTTTATTTGCTAAGTTTACATATAACATGCGAGTTCGCGTATTATATGTATGGATAATAGACTTACATTTCATATATACTATTGTTTTTTTTGTTTTGTTTTTTAATTACAGAAAACAACATAAAATGAAAAAATAAAAATTAGAACAAAAGTCAAATTAAACCTTCAATAATTTAAAAGCATGTAGTTAGTTATACAGTGCTTAATAAAAATCGATTTAAAAAAACTAATAAAATATATTTTAAAATAAATATCTATACATAAAGATGAAAGTGAGAGAAAAAATATTTCTTCAGTAGTGTAAGCTAAAAGGTATGATATCCACCAATAGTATGAGCTGTATCTATATGCAGAGAGGGAATAATGTAGTCGAGTCTCTACTCGTGTGATGTAACTCTGTTCAACCATTTTTCTGTAATGCTAATTATCTTTACAAATATTCTTCAGACATTTCTGGTCTTTTTGCGTTTCTTTTGTTATAACATAATCTTCAAAGACCAACAAAAATTGAAATTGATCCAAGTGGCCAATTAAAATGGGCAGATGGTCTAAATGAAGATTCAGAAAATTACTTGGAGTTCAAAGCTAGAGGATAGTTGCACTAAATGGAATGAACTGGCAAAAGCAACTTGAGGAGACCAGGAACCCGTGGTGGATTGCAGGGCGGAATGTTGATAATGGAAATTCATGGAAATAATAAAAAGAATAAATTTGGTTTAAAATCACTTTTTAAATTAAGCAGTTGATAATGTCTGACTTTTCCAAAATCAACAATTCAGGGTATAAGTTGAACATGAATAACAAAGATTTTTAAACAATATTAGTAAAAATATTGAATGTAATTCCAACAATACTATCCTTTTCTGTAATTAATTATGTCATCAAGAATTTAATTTTCAGATGTATACATCAAATTAAATTAATCCAATACAACATTAAGGAGATGCAAAAATATTTGCGTGGCCTAAGAATGAGCTGCATAGCATAAATCTACTTTGAAAAAATCGATAGCTTTAACAGAACTTTTAAATACACATTCTATAAAACTTTTACTGAACTGTTCCACGAAAATAAGATCAAGCACCGAAATAACAAGGAAACAATTGAAAATAAACATTCTGATTAAAAATAAATTATAAATAACTTTTCATTTTAAACACAGTAAAGCACAGAAACAATAGTTTCAAGTGTAAATAAATATGTATGACAAATAAATATAAGGTCCTCCCATTCTTTTTTTTTGTCATTCTTCTCTATGAATGATCGTACTCTGAAACTTGTTTTGAAGAAAATAAATTGTGGTTGTAAATAAGATAAATTTGAGAGAGGCCATTGTTTTCCTTCAGCCAATTTTTTCTTTTCTTTTGGTGTTATAAACATTGATCAGATTCATAAACTTGAGGGTTTTTTCTACCTCATCTTCAACAGTTTCAACGGTGAATACTGCTGTTCCCAATAACACTTGATATTTGTTTTGTGTTTTATGGATCTCTCATGATGTGTTCTGCGGATTATTTCTGAATTTAATATTTGTAAGCCTGTGAGGTTAGTAGTGGAAGGTCTATGAATGTGGGAAGAATGTTGTCCACTTGGGGTCAAACATTCTCTGATTCAGTGTTTATAGAAGTGGTACCACGGGAAAATATAAACCTATAAAGCCTAACAAAGGCACAGTCACTTATACATGAAAGGCAATTAATATGATTCACACTAAATTTTAATGATAGAGGAAATGCAAGAACACTTAAAACTTTCTGTGGAATAATAATTCTATTCACTGGAAAAAATAAAATTTAATTAATAATTTTTTTTATTATTCAATCATTGAAAAAATTGCATTTTTTAGAAATCTTTATTTATTACCCTTTGATTTATTTATTATTATATATTTTTTTTACAGTACCGATACCTTTTAAGTTTTTTTTCTCACATTTTTCTTGATAATCCCTGTAAACATATAAATTATTACTTTAACTCCATTTTTGTCGTTTATCCCCAGCAAACTTATGATCCTCTTTTACTCTAAGGCATTAATATAATACATGTGTATCTCTACATATTAAACATAAAGTTTCTTTGAAAATAATTATTTGGATAGAAATATTACAATTTTTCATCCTAGTAATTCTAATTATATTTTAATGCCAAAGAAGAACCAAAGGCAAAATTATAGGACAGTAAATGTATTATAATTCAATAATATGACATCAACTAATTTTTAAAAACTTTAAGGATTGCCGTTGTTTCTGATCTCCATAACTTACAAAAGATGTAACAACTGAATCACGGTTTTTGTTAATTGTTGATAAATAGTTGTAACTTCACATTTTTAGCCACATCCTATTTTTCTATCCTGTTTTTTACATCTTTTAACTAATTGAATTTTCATTACACATTTAATGATTTTCATTTAGGGGCACGTTCACAACAAAGACAAAGTTAAACTGAATGTAAAATGACCATATCATTTTGTTAGGATAAATATTCAGAAAATTTCACTTCCGTGGGTGCAGCAATTGCTTCTTCTTAAACTAAGTTTTCATTGAATTCTCACTGATGTTTAAAGCAATGTTTTTTTTATTATAATTTTAACTACCCGTTTTGATGAACATAAACTAAAGACAATGGTTTTGACAGTTACATTTCATAATTTTTTTAATGTGACTTCGTGTTTGATAAATAGAAATTTAATTTCATATATAGAAATTTGTTTCTAATAAAATTCTTCTTCTTTCATTACCACCTCTCGTGCCTTTTAGAATGGAGGTGCGTCGATCCATTAATCCCAGGTTCATCGGTCCTGTGCTAGAGCCTTCATGCCCTTTATTTGTATATCTCTTTTCTACCTGATCTTGGAGATGTACTCCAATCCATAACAAGTCTTTCTGTTGGGCGTTTTTCTGTTCGGAGTTTCCTCCAACAATTTTCATTTGCCATAGTCTTCATTCATCATGGGTCATCAACATAGTGATAATTACATCTAACCTTCTTATTCGTGTGTGATAATAAAATTCAAGTTTTTAAAAACCTCCAATAAACAGAGATTTTAAATGCATCTAAGTTGATTACACAGAGGTTCAACAGTATTACAATGCAAAATAAAAATAAAATAATACTAAGGAACAGTACACAAAATACAATAGAATTCCAATAATTTGTATTGTAGACAGTTGAAGGGTTAAACATTATTTATTGATATGTTCAAATTATCAGAATCACCAATAATCACAGATAAAAAAATGTGTTTCAGCGTTTATATAAAGTGGCACTTCCAGTTAGCCGATTTTAACGAAAAAGTTGCTGTCACATCCGGCCCATATACAAACCTTAAATACTTAATATCAGTTTCGTACTAGTTTTCGTTTATGAGCTAGACTGTTAACACACACACAGTCACGCACACACACACACAGACCATTTTGTGCTACTTAGTTATCTGAACTCAGGGGACCCCAAAACATGTATTTCCGTTGAAAACTGAGATTCCAAAATTTTCATGATCGCAATACTTACCCTTACTATATATTACATATATAAGTAAGTGAAAGTAATAAAAAGTATGAAATAATGATGATATAAAATTTTATCAACATGTACCAATTTGTATGTTCTTAATTTCTCTCTCTCCCTCTTACAAGCCATTTCTGGCATACTTTGACCACGCATGTCGATATCCATATCCATATCCTCTAGATATGGGTACTCATTAGTCTTGGAATCATATGATGTTTTGCATGACTCAGAAGACAAAAATAAATATGAATTACTGAGGGTAACTGAGTATATTGTTTTTATAAGCTAAAGGCATTTTCTTAGGAATAACAAATTTGTACTAATTAAGTAAATATGTGAAATATGATATAAAATAACGGGATTTCACATTTTTTTAATTTTAAAAATCTGGTTATTATGGAATGTAAATTATATAACTTTTGTCTCCAGAACTGGTATCAGGCTTTGGATGTTTTATCATTACCCACTTCACTCACGATATATGTTAGTAAGATAAATAATATTAATTATTACTAGTTAGGGTAGATGGCATTATTAATAGTAACAATTACTAAAATATAAATTGTCTTACCTGAAAAAATAACAAAGCACCAACAGACAATACTACTCCTATTGACAATCCAATAGAAAAAACAGTTAATATTAAAGTGGTCACAGTAAACTGAATGGTATTATTAGATATTAAACTGCTCTGCATTTGATGCATATACCATGCCTAAAACATAAGAAAAATTGGGTAAACAAAATTTATCAACTATTAACAGGTTAAAATTAGTCAATTATCATGTGAATATTATCAGCAACTTATGACTTTTAATTAAATATTCCTGTGAATAGAAATAAAATATTTAAAATTGAAAAAAAAAAAAAGGACATCAATGAAAAATTATAAACACTATATTTAAATAACACACAAATTTTGTATTAGAATCAGAGGTAATGTTTAAAGAAGTTTTATGTAGATTTTTTCTTTACTATTGTTTAAAAATATAAAAAATAAATTAGGTAAATAGAAATTATTTTACTGATATCATAGGGACTACAATAACCTGGAGAACCAGCCCCGTCTCTGAATTTTTATAAGATATATATTATTTGTTATAAATTAATATTTATTTATACAGTTAGGATACCAATAAAATTGGAGTGAAGAGGAAGTGAAAATATAAAAGACTTTGGTTAAGTAATTATTTCAATTCATAGAATACCAACATATAACAAAAACAAAACAAATAACTTACTCTGTAAAATGCTCTGTACAGAGTATATCCCATAATAGCAGTAGCTTGCAAGCTTCCACTGACGCTGAAATATAAGAATGTAGTGAAGTGAGCATGGTTAGCATGACCAACACAGTTATTTATCCAAGGACAATGATGATCCATCTTCAGGACACATCGACCACCTACAAACAACCAAAAGTTTGTAACAATTATTTAACAAAAGAATGGTACAGTAAAAGAACCAATATAGGACAGTTCATAAGTGATATACATCAACGAAGTTCAGTCACCTCATTTAGACTTCGAGACACACTCAGCTATTCTCAGAATTCGCAATGTGATTATGGGATCTTGGTCTAACTCATCAAAATCGAACACTACTTGTCAAGTAGAGTTCTCCAAAACTCTAATCACAAATTGATCATACCTAATTATTTATGAATTAAAATTAGATTTCTTTTACAGTATTACTGTACTAGTGTTGCTTCATTTTTATAGTTGGGAACAAGATCTCATGAACACAGCATAAAAGAAATTCAGGCATTGGCCGAGTACTGACATGTTCATGAGTATAATCTGTTTATTTTGATCTTAAGGTCCTTTCCAGTAAAAATTGAGGCCTTAATTAGGTTTAATAGGTGTAGGAAGGTGGTGGCCCTATAGCCCGATCATAGTACCACATACAGCCACTGTCCTTCCAGGTTTTCCAATATAATTGTTTTGGAAATCATGAAAAAATAAAATAAATAAATAAAACTGGACTGATTAATCAAAAAAGAATTCCTACTCAATTAATGTAATCGAAATTCGGATAATAGGATGTTCTTTCATTATGCAAATGGAGAGCTTTGTATCATCTTCGGACATAACTGGATTACTACAAGATGTAATAATAGCTGCAATCTAGGAAGTAAAATGGACAGACGATGGGTCTCTTATTAGGAAAAATTACATCATATATTATAATAGAGATGACTATTACCACATATTTGGAACTGGCTTCGTAGTTAGAAAAAAAATCACCCAATCAGTTATTTATTTCCTTCAAAGCAATTAGTCCCAGAAACCAAAAAAAAATTATTACAGTTAAGAAGGTTGCTTGTCTCCAGTAGGCTGGCATCAGATACCTTGAAAGATAATGGATAAAAAAATCTATGACACCAGAAAAGGAAAAAGAACCCGATTTCAATGGATGGATGGTGTGTTAGCCAATGCAAGATCCATCCTCAGTATTCTTAACTGGAGGACAGCAGCATCCAACAGAGATGATTTGAGTATCAAATTGCAGGGGATCCTGCCTCTACATTGTAGAATTGTAAAGCCAAAAAAGAAAAAGAATTAAGTTTAATAATATCACTGTTTTTGAGGTTCTGCTCGCTGAAAAGGGCTAGGTATACTGCAAAAGGATACTTTTCAGTTAATGTCGAGGCCATACCAGACTATTTAATCACCTCCATCTACATTCAGATACAGTCGACTAATCTTAGAATTCCATTTATAGTATGATCATGAGATCTTGTATCCACACATCGAAGTAGAGTAAAACTTGTACAGTAGTATTGAAGGATGTAAATAGAAATGGTCCTACTTAATAATAAAATTAACCAAACAGTACTCACATTTCCTGCAATGGTGTGATCTTGGAGCTTTAAATCCTTCACAAACTTTACAGAACTGAAGATATGCTTCATCGGCAGGATATTCCTAAGAAATACAAATATACTAGCAATAAAATCACAATAAAATAACTGAATTATTATTAACATTACACTTACTGGACACCACTTTAATGGAAGATAACCTGGACCTTCAAACATTGCACTTAAAAGATTGTAAATAGAAAGGCCACTGTTGATAAGAAAAGTTACCATGTTCAAAAATCCTGCAAAGCTCTGGGTGGGTGGAAGTAACATGTTACTGCAATGTACCATTGTATATGTAATTATTTTAATTATTCCTAAAACAAACAAAATGATATTAAAATAAACTGCCCTTAGCCAACAGCTATCAACTTCATCCTATCCATAAAAGAAAATAAATAACTCTTTAAAAAAATCAGTAAAGAAAGATATGTATAGTCAAAGCAATAATTAAAAACCTTTTAATTTCATAAATGTTAAAGATCATAAAATTAACTAAATTTATCCAAATATGAATACCTAGAGCTGTCAAAGGTCCCCAATGACAAACTCTTTTGAAAGGCCCAAAGCACATTTTTCTAGCTGCAAGGAGTGACACGATTTTATTCTTAACTATATCAAATCATCTTCAAAACACCATAAAAACAGGAGTAGCGAGTAATCACGAAAGAAGGGATAAGAAACAGATATACATTTTTGTTAAGAATTCGAACGCTCATAAACAAAGCATCGTTATATATCGATATAGAACGATATATCGATCAAAGGCCAAACTAACTCATTCTTTCTTTTGAATGAGGAAAAACCAAATTAACTAATTAGTTAATTTATGTTTGTTAAAAATGTATTAGTTTATTTTTAAATAACAATATCTAATCACAATGTGATAAATGAAAAAAAGCGTGAGCAGCATATCTCCGTCCTATTTTCTTCTGAATTTTGATTGAAAAAAATATGAAAAGGTGTTAAATTCTTACCTTATTACTTAGCTGAGAAAATAATTCAAATTTTAAAACATTGCAAATAACACAATGGTTTATTACTTGTTATACTATTAACATTTATAATTAATTAATAGTTATAATTCAAAACACTATGTTAATGCACTAAATGGTTCGATGTTTCAATGATTTTCTCCAGTTATGTAAAAAACACAATTAACTCAATAAAAAAGAAGATATATATAATTAAACACAATTAACACCAATTTTAACTGAAAAGTTAAATTAGTTGGGAGTTTGGCGATGTCGTAAAGCGCAATTTAAATAAAGGGACGATATACTATGAATTTGTACTTCATAGGATAACCTACCTCACGTCAGCGTCAGGAGGTTTCTTTATAAAGAACTCACAGACATTAAGTTCATTAACGGGTTCATGAAGTCAAGCAATTTTCCACTTTTCAAGTAGCTTACCCAACTCCTGCTAACCGACAAACTGTACTAACTAAACTTGCTTTTACTAACTGAACTACCCCCGCCTGGTTTAGTTTATATTTCCCACAGAACTTATAAAAAAGATCAGATCATTTCCTTGGATCACATTGGCCGAAATCTACGACCGATTTTCAAACTATCATAAATTAAAAGTAGAAGGGTGGAAAGTAGAAGTTGTGTGAAGCGCGCGCCGCACCAAATCTTTTGTATCTACTTTAATGTTTTACTTTGGTCTTAGAAACTTTATAAACTTAGAAAAAACAATGTTCATGAATGTTCTATCTGATCGGTTGTGCAACACTACTAAAAAGGGTTGCTTAATACACAATACACTAATCAATTGTTTTTGGAGAAAACACTCTCTGTCTCTGTTTTTGAAAGAAATACATTTTTTATTTTATTTTTCCCTTTCTACTTCTCTCACATGATCAAGGTTGTTGCTTTCAAAGGAATAGTTGTATCCAAGAGTCTGTAATGCAACAGTATCCGCATATCTGACAGATCCGTCAATGTCCGTACAATAAATCTCGTTGAAGCAGCTAAATTATTTTCCCCTAAGAAACCTCACCACCTTGAATTTGACCTACGGTCCCGGCGCGTTATGAGGAAGGAGTTGTTAGGCTATTTTCCAAAGCACATGGGCTGGTGTTTTAGGCTGTCTGTCGTATTTACGACAGAGAGACATTTTATGAATTCGGGAATTCTTGCGTTATAACTATATGAAGATTGGAAGAAGGTATCCAGTACATAACACGGTCCCTGAGCAATGGAAAAGTGCTACAAAGGTGCGTCCCATTGACCGGAATGGTGAGATCGTACATCCAAAATATTTGATAGTATCATCAGCCTTTGGGGTACAATGACATATCCAACCTCAAGATAGAGATTTGTTTGCTTCAGCTGTCTTTTATTAATTATGAAACCCATACTGTTCTGCTGGTTTATAGTCAGACCAATCTTGGTAAGAATTCTCTGACCACAATTTATAATTCTTTATGCAGAACCTTTATCGTATGCCCCCGCATAACTGATAAAAAGTCCCAAAGAATCCCGCTTGTCGTAGTTTTTTGAGAATATCTCAAAATCTACAAGGTTTTCGGCAAAAATTTTTCAGAATAATACTAAAGTACTTTAAAATTTCTATAAAAGTGATTCTATATATTTTTTTGATAAAATTAATGGTTACGGAGATATTTATGAGATTATATTCATCACATTTTCGTTTTAAGCAACAATTGCTTCAAAGCACGAAATTGATGTTATTCATAGTAGACAACACATTTTTGAAGTTTAATTAGTTTTTTTTTTAATTTTCGATCGTTCAAATTATTATTTAAAGTTTCTTTCTTTTAATGATTCTTACAAATTAGTGACAACAGAATTATATAAATTTTGTAATTTTAAGCCAGCCAGTTTTTATGTTTAATAAAAAACAATAATTAAAAAATTGTTTAGTTTTGGTTACAATTAGTTACTTCGCAGGAAACTAGATTAAATTTACATCAAATTAAAGTAAATCTTGTTTTTTTTAAATCATCTAAAGGGAACTTTTAAGCAGTTAAACTACAGTACGTTCGGATTTTCATAAAATCAAGGATTCTTCGCAACATATTTTGTAAGCCCCCAACTGGACTGAAGATACCAAACTATCAGGAAAACTTCCTTGTTTGATGAGCTTTAAGTCTATATTAATTAAGTTTTGGTTTGTTACAGAGTGATTTATCTCTAATTGTAAGTTGATATTCACATCTCATTGAGTAAAAAGATGTAAAAATATCTGTGTCGACTCCTAATTTTACCGTACTAATAACATTTTTACTTAATTAGAGTAAATGTAAACTCAACTTTATCAATATTTACTTAAAGCTTAAATGGATAAAGAAGTTTTTCCGAAAGTGTCACATCTTCAGTCATGTTGGGAGATAACAAAATAAATCGCGAAGGATTCTTGATTTTATGACTTACCGTAGTTGAACAGGTTAAACGTCCCCGTTTAAAAAATACAAGATATAATTTCGTTTAATGTAAATTTTATCTAGTTTACTTTGAAGTAATCGGTTGTATCCTAAATTAAACAAATTTTTAGTTATTGTTTTTTATTCAACATAAAATGTAGTTGGCTTAAAAATTATAAAATTTAAGTTCCCTGGTTCTCTATGTAATCAGACCATGGTTAATTTTAACTTTTTATATGTTTTAATGTCTTATGTCACCAATTATATGAAATTAATGTAAATCTAAACTTCATTTTACTATCACCATATTACCATTGAATGGAGTCGAATAAAATTCTGTTGTCAATGACTTTTAAGAATCAATTAAAGGAAGAAACTTTGAATAATAATTCGAACGATCGAAAATGAAAAAAAAAAAAACTAATCAACTTCAAAAATTATTCGTCTGCTATGAACAACATTAATTTCGTGCTTTGGAGCAATTCTTGCTTAAAGTGGAAATGCAATAAATATAATCTCATAAATATCTCCGTAACCATTGATTTTATTAAAAAAAAAATGTACATGGTCATTTTTGAAATATTATCAAAAACCTAAAAAAATAACAGTTTTCTGTTCTTTATTTCCTACCCTCATCAAAACACAACGCGGGATTCGTTGTGACTTTTTACCAGTTATTTTGGGGAGGCTAGTGAACAATTTCTGACAAGTTTCATCATTATATTTTTAATGTTCCGGTAAGGCTGTTTTTTTCTATAACTTTACTGGACTAATAAGCAGGCACGATTTATAACATTAAAGGCTCGTTTGAAGTCAATAAACAATGCAAGAATAGTTTTTTCGATATGCTTACCTCAAAATTCACACTTCTAAATTTCCTATGGATAATTGTCCAGAGTACAAATTTTGGTTGCCATATAATTGAATTAAACCTTTTAAATATAAAACAAGCACGAAGTCGTCTTCGTCGTTTACTTTGTCACAGCTCAAGGCCAATCTCATATAAATGAAATTCAATTCACAAATATCAATACGACAATAATATAAAAATTATGTTATTAGTTACTAATTGTAATTTATTGATTGTTTTATAATTTTTTAATCCATAAATTTGTAATACCTCCATTCTCAATATTATTTGAATAATTCAGTCTAAATAAAAAAAAATGTGGTGCGTGCAACACACAAACTTTCACTTACCGCTCTAATTTGAATATAAATTATTTTTTTGGCAATATTGGGCTATAAGATTCTAGCCATCAAAAAGAAAAACTGAAAACCACATTAGAAATATTTCTCGGAAACTAATAGAAAAGTGAATGGGAATAATGTTCTTCTGGGTTCCTTCACTCTGTGGAATCGACGGAAATGAACAGGCAGAGAAAGGAGCCATCATGGCGAGAAGGTTTGAAAGAAACCCGGTTATTATAACTAACGAAATAACTAAAGAAGATTTTTCCAACATATTTAAAAAGAATTTCGTAAAATGTGGCAGAACAGGTGAAAACAAAAGTTAGCTAAATTAAAAGCCACTGACTGTTCCGAATGGAAAACCTCTAACCGACTCTCTAAGAAAGAAGAGACAGCCCAGTGTTGATTAAGAATTGAGCATTGTGAATTTTCACAACTGGTAAATAATTTTTTTTTTTAAATCTAATTATTATGAATCATTCATGAAAACCAAATTCTCTAGAAATTTTAAAATTTTGAATGACTACTCACTTTATTTAATATGCATGCCTACAAATGATTTATTTGAACAGTTTCAGATATAACTGGCAAATAATATTAAATGTCTGTTGATGAACTAAAATATAGATAACACTTATTCATATCAATCTCGCCGGCATTGCATAAGCGTTCAGTTCTACACACTTAACATACTGCCGAGATGTCATCCGCCACCTACTATGTCATGGAAAAGGTGATGTAAGTATTTCCTAATTGTACTATTTGCCTTTATTTTGTTTTATTTCAGCGTTATAAATTATTATAATAAGAATGTAATTATTTAAATCAAAGTAATTACGGTGTCTGTCTTTGTTTCATTAGTCGGTATGTTGATACACGCTTTTAATTTAGAATAAAAAAAATAAAACTTTTTTTAACTTTCAGATATATAATCACCATATGAATATATATGAACATATACTGTCATTATTGTACGAATTTTTTATCTTCATATGAAAAAAAATGTTTTCAAGACTTTTATGTAATTGTATATATATATATATATATATATATATATATATATATAGTTATTTTGTTTCAATTACTTTAAAGTCTTCAGAAAAAAATATAAAACTTTTTTCATAAGATTAA